ATTATATAGAAAAGATCATTCAATAATATTAGTTAATACACAATTATTTCAAGCTAGAATGTTTATAATAACTGATTAAGTGCTGGCCTATAAACAAATGTCAAATTTTTGAAGGAAATGGCCTAATAATAAAATTATGCTGAATATCAACAACAATTTCACCTCATATAAGCTTCTAAATTACCTTTGTAAAGTATATCACACTGAAAATCAGAAAATAATATGAATGGGTTGAAAAAATACTATATATAGTAACATACAAAGTACATAATGCCAAATTTAAAAGAAAATTTATTGTTTGAAAATTAACCACTTGTTTATTGTGAAAATACATTACTACTAAAAAATAAAAATACAATTTATAACCTGACAGTTTCTATAAGAAGCATAGAGAGCCGGGCTCGGTGGCTCAGCCTGTAATCCCGCGCCTTTGGGAGGCTGAGGTGAGTGGACTGCCTGAGCCCACGGGTTCGAGACCCGCCTGGGCAGCGAGACCTCATCTCTACAATAAATCAAAAAATCAGCCGGGCGTGGTAGCGCATGCCTGTAATTCCGGCTACTTGGAAGGCTGAGGCGGAAGGATCGCCGGAGCCCAGCAGGTCGAGGCTGCGGTGGCCGGGAGCGGCCACTGCTTTCCAGTCGGGGCGACACAGTGAGACTCCAACTCAAAAAAAAAAAAAAAAAAAAAAAAAGATATACAAATGGTCATTGTACAGGCAAAGTTCAGGCCTCACTTTGGTTCCCACTTTGCCTGATTTAAAATCAGGTACCCTAATTTATGTTATTTACCTCCCCTGGAAATTTCCCACTACTCCCAATCCCTTTCTTATAGTATTATTATAATTGTTCATGATCTGCTAGTGAGTGAGAACATATGGTATTCAATTCTTTGTTTCTGTGATAGATCGCTGAATATTATAGACGCTATATCCATACAAGTTGCTGCAAAGTTCATAGTTTTGTCCTTCTTTCTGGCAGCATAATATTCCATCGTGTACATGTACCACATTTTTTAATCCAGTCCACTATCGATGGGCAGCACAGTTGGTTCCATGTTTTTGGTATTGTGAATAATTCTGCAATAAATATGTGTGTGCAGGTATCTTTTTCATAGAGTGATTTGAGTTTCTCCAGGTATATTCCCAGAAGAGGGATTTCTGGGTTGTATAGAAGGTCACCTTCTAGATCTTTTAGGAATACCATGCTGTCTTCCACAGAGGTTGTACTAGTTTACACTCCCACCAACAGTGTAGAAGGGTTCCCTTTTCCCCACATCCTTTCCAGCATCTGTTTTTTGTGAGTTATTGATGATGGCCATCCTGACTGGAGTTAGGTGGTATCTCAGTGTGGTTTTAATTTGCACTTCTTTGATGACTCGTGAGGCTGAACTTTTGTTCATGTATCTGTTGGCTTCTCATATGTCTTCTTTTGAGAAGTGTCTATTCATATCTTTTACCCACTTTTTAATAGGGCTTTTTTTTTTCTTTTCAGCATGTTTGAGTTCCTTGTAGATCCTAGATGTTAGGCCTTTGTCAGATATACAGTTGGCAAATATTTTTCCCCAGTCTCCCAATTCTCTTGATGACTTCTTTTACTTTTCATCAATTTGATGATATCATTAGATGCAGAAAAAGCCTGCAATAAAATCCAGCATCCCTTTTTGATAAAAGCCCTTGAACACCTAGACATAGAGGGAACATACTCAAAATAGTAAGAGCCATCTATGATAAACCCATAGCCAATATATTGCTAAATGGACAGAAATTGCAAGCATTTCCCCTGAAAACCAAAACAAGACAAGGCTACCCACTTTCACCCCTCCTGTTCACCATAGTGTTGTAAGTCCTAGCTAGAGTAATGAGACAAGAGAAGGAAATCAGTGGTATCCAAATAGGAAAAGAGGAAGTCAACTATCTCTCTTTGCTGATGATATGATTCTATAACTTGAAAATCCAAGAGAATCTGTCATTAAACTTCTTACACTGATAAAGGACTTTGGCAAAGTCTCATGGTACAAAATCAACATGCAAAAGACAGTTGCATTCTTATACACCAACAACAAACAGGCAGAGAACCAAGTAATAGCACAATAGCAACAACAACAAACTGAAATACCTTGGCATCTTCCTAACCAGAGAAGTGAAAGACCTTTACAATGAAAACTACAAAACACTGTTCAAAGAAATCAAAGATGATTCAAACAGTTGGAAAAATATTCCATGCTTATGGGCTGAAGCATCAACATTGTTAAGATGTCCATTCTGCCAAAGCAATCTACAGATTCAGCATAATATCCATTAAATTACCAACATCATTGTTCTCAGACCCAGAAATGATAATATAGAATTTCATATGGAAACATGAACAACCACGAATAGCCAAAACTGTCCTTAGGAAAAGAAACAAAGCGGGAGGTATCACACTCCTACACTTTAAACTTTACTATAAGGCTACCATAATCAAAACAGCCTGATATCAGTACAAGAACACACATATGGAATAATGGAATAGGATAGAGATTCTGGAAGCAAAACCTCAAATTTCTCAACAAAGCCTTCACCAACAATCATTGGAGAGAGAAAAAACTATTCAGCAAATGTTGCTGGGAAAACTGGCTGACCACATGCAGAAGATTGAAACAGGACCCCTTTCTATGGTGATACACAAAAATCAACTCTAAATGGATCAAAGACCTAAATGTAAAACCTCAAACTATAAAAACCTTAGAAAATACAGGAGACCCCCTTATGGAAATTGGAGCTGGCAACCAATTCCTGATCTTATTCCTTTAGTGATTACCTTAGACATTAATGCATACATTCTTAATTTATTGCATCTTGTAGTAATTAAAATTTCATTATTTTTCCCTTATGTTGCAAGGACATATACTTTCATTCATTTTTTTCTCTCCTGATATGTGCTAATACTGTTGTGTTTTGTAATTACACACACACACTTATATATATGTATGTATATATAAATATAGAGGCAAATATGGAGTGGTTAAACAATAATGACTTAATAATAATATTTGTATTACTTCTGTTTAATTATTGCTGTTTAACCAGTTCATATTTGCCTATATATTTACTAATTATACTATTCTTTATTCATTTTGCTTCTTTAATCTTGCAGGTAAGATAATTGTCATTTTTTCAAATGATTATCTTTAGATCTTTTAATTAAGTCATTTAGTAACAAATTTATGTAGTCCATTTCTGAAAATGTGTTTTTTTCTTTATTCTAATTTTATAGATTTTTTTAAAAATAAGACATGTTGGCAGTTAGTTTCTTTCAGCTATTGAAGATATATTGTTTTCTTCTTCTACTGTTTCTATGAAGAAATCATCTGAAATCCTAAATGTCACTGCTTTAAACATACTGTCTTTTTTGAAGCACTTTTAGGATTGTTTTATGTTTAGTATTCAGCTGCTTTAACGTGATGTACTTAGAATAAGTTTCTCTGTAATTATTCTTATTAGGGTTCATAGTCATTTTTCCATCTGCAGTTTGGCTTTTAATTGACAGTTTTCAAACATTCTTAACCAATATTGCTTCAAATTATTTGACTGCTCCATTCTTTCTGGCTCCTCTCCTTTTTTCTCACTCTTCTGTATTTTCCGTCACTTCCTGCTCTATGTTGCAGTGTGGATACTCCTGTGTCCTATATTACAGTGCATTGATTCCGCCTGCACTAGATATAATCTTCTGTTATCTCATGCATTTATTTATTTATTTTATTTGTTGTAATTTTTATTTCTAAATTTTCCATTTGGTTAAATTTTTTATAATGTATAGCTCAATGACTAAATTCTCAATTTTGAACATAGCACATATAGTTAGTTTAAAATCTGTGTCTTACAAATATAATATCTGGGGTCCCTGTGCACACGTGTGTGTGTGTGTTTGTGTGTGTGTGTGTGTGTTTTATTGCCTATTGTTTCTTACATTTGCATTCATCTTGGCCTATAGTGGTGTTAATTTTCTCGGTAAAATATTTGTTTCTTTGCTGGTAACTTCAGGATGCATGCCCTATTGTATTCATTTATGAGGAAACTGGGGAACAGAACGATCAAGTAACTTACATAAGATCACATAGTAAGCGGCATAGCCAGGTTTTGAGCAACTGGAGTCTAACCCTTATTCGGTACAATATATTTATTCTGTATAATGCTATAAAACTTCCTATTTACCAAACTAAAGAACTGCCATTCACAACTGCCCCTTGGATACTTTTTATTTATCAGTCTAAGTTAGTGCTACCTCTGTGACTCTCACTGCTAGCAAACAATTAGACAGTGGAGTGTGAGATATTTGATAAATTGTAGATAGCAAGAATAAGTGGGGTTTTTTTTACATCATTAAAAATGAGCACGCATCACAACCTGGTGCAATAGTATTGGGGTAGAGATTTCAGTGTCTTATTTAAAGAACAGAGTAACATATAATATCTGTGGACATTATATTTAAATGAGAATCCCTGCTCATTAAGTCAACATGCAAGATGTGCCCTTCTAAACATTAAAATACAAATTTTTAGAAAATACGTGTGCAGCTATTTTTGTATATACATGTGTGATGAATGTTTGAAATTTACCTTGAAAACCATTATAGACATTATTATCTTCAAAGTATGGTGTGCAAAATTGAACTCACTGAGTTTAGATAACTTGCTATACTCATACAGTTAGTAGGTGATGAGTTTAGAATTCAATTCCTGTTCTCTGTCTCCATATCCAATCTATTCACAATCCAATGCTCCATACTTGGCAATTGCAACATTAGATAATGATGTTTCCTTAAAGAAGTTACTAGAAATCTCTAGGAATATTTTAAAAATCTGATTTTGACTAACAAAAGGTAGCTGAGTGAAGTGTATTTTGGAATTTCTTACTTAGTTGATTTTAATAGAATATTATTTATTCATTGAATTGAAAATGTTTTTTCCTCATAACATAACATTTTAAGATTGTTTTTAATTTTATGCCTTTTTCTCATAGAGAGGTGTATAAAGTACAATGCTACTCATCGACCTCATCACCCCCAAAATTTTCCAGGCAAAATGACTTTTCCAAGTACAATAAGACAATTTATGATATACTGCTCCACTTGAGTGGAAAAATGCCACCTGGAATTAATTTAAGTCAATCATTACCTGTGGATAACAATGAAAGGGTGATTCAACTTCATTTGCAACATTCTTCACTTCTGGACTTTCTCGTGTAAGAGCCTGGATGTGCAAATTTAAGCATGTAATTATGGCTTGGGTAGATAAGCAGATGGATAAATAGATGGACTTTGATATTAATTTTCTTTTTACTGTGTGTGTGTATGTGTGCGCGTGCACGTGTGTGTTTATCTCACATTGGAAAAATATATACTAGTTAATAGAAAATTAGCATTTTATCATCTATTGGATTTGTAATCTAAGGGAATTTATATTTAACTTTAAAATGCATCCAAATCACTGAGAGGACTTGATAAAACAGTTTACTGGCCCTTACACACAGAGTTTGAAATGCTAATTTACATTTATAACAAGTTTCAAGATGATGCTGACACTTCTGGTCCATGGTCCCTTTTGAAAATTCTGATCGATGACAAATATATAAATCCACTGAGTAAAAAAGGAATTAAACCAATAAGCTTTATTTCTCAGATTACTGTATCATCTCAAGTGACAAATACTGAACTTTTAGTCTGCATAGTTAGTCTTTTAATAATAAAGCAGTTTAAGTGTGTGAAAAGTTCTATAAGTGGTTGATACAAATGATAAGAAAAATACTTGTTATGGTAATGTCTGTTGTTCCTCTGTAGAAATTAAATGGCAAGTTGTTAAGAAATGGAAAAGCAATGTTCACTAAAGGTCTGAGAAGAGGAATAGTGAATTTTTATTTCTTGTCCACTGAAATGCCTCACATTCATAGGCAGTATTATTACTTTTTCTTCCATGCTTCTGTAAAACCAAAATTACATTTATTACTTGTAATTATTTACGTAATAGGGTTAATATATTTTGAAGTATATTAATGTACTTTTCTTGTTTGTTTCTTTGTTTATGGGATCTGCTCCCTAGTTGGCCAAAGATATTCACCTACCCCAGCAGGAGTGGGGTTGGAGGGCAAGAAAAGGACTCTGGTAGCAGGAATACAAATGAAAGATTTGTCACTCGGGTTTTTCTTTGAAAGTCAGGATTTTTTAGTTTCTACCCATACTATGTATTAAAAGCTTGACATGGAGCAAAACAAAATATTTCCTTTCATTTCTTAGGCTCTCACTATCATAGTAATAACCAAAAGTTGAAGGGAGCTAGAAGTTTCTAAGTCAATGAAGGTGACTGAGTCAAGACCCAGGCAGCCTGTTATGGAGGTTGCTGTGTTAGAGGAACCCCACGAATGAGATAGAATGGTGGTAGATATTTGGTCCTGAAGTCACAATGGAAAGGACAAATATAGGAAGACTGGGGAGTGACTGATTCAGTTATAGGAGACATCTTGGTCCTTGATGGGGCTAAGAGAAGAGACACAAAATCCCCATCTCAGACATCAGCAACATGTGCTCACATGACTAATAAGTTTCAGGAAGAGAGAGGGGGTGTTGCCAAGGATAGCAGTAATCCAGAAATGCAGTCACAGACCTGCAAGTACAGATACAACAGTTCTCCCCCTTCTCATGTAAACCCGAAGTTGTGTCTGATTCAGGTTCTGAAAGGCCTTTTACAATTGGAGGACCCTTCTTTATCAAATAATATAAAATTCAAAATACAAAAATTAGATAAATGGCTTCATGAATGTAAAGAAACTGAAATTAAAACTGTATTTACTTTCCCAGATGCTATCTTACATGGAGGAGTGTGTATGAAATTTAGTCACGACAGAATTATTTTAAGGCATAAAGTTACAGGAAGATGCAAGTTTGCATTTTCTCTCTATTCTTCTACACTCATTCCAAATGGGATAAAGAGAAAGATTGTATCAGTTAAGGAAAATAGCACAAGTGTATGAAAATTATGTAAATCGGTTTCAACTCCACTGCTTTATCCTTGAGTCAGTAAATTCTACTGATTTACGATCACCTTGAGAGCAGAAACCACATCTCATTCACTCAGCATCTCTGACATCCAGGGAAGATGTTCATTAGAATTTTATTTTATTTTATTTTATTTTATTTTTATTTTAAAGATGTAGGGTACAATTCAGAGTTAGGTATATAAATATTCATTATGCAGGTATCCTTGTTGATAAAGTGTGCTGCCTTCCCCTGACAGATTCCCACTACCGCTAATCCCATCCCCCTCCTGGCAGTTTCCCACTACTTCCAATCCTTTTTTTGTATAGTATTATGATAATTGTTCAAGGTCTGCTTATATGGGAGAACATGTGATACACAGTTCTTTGTCTCTGTGATACATCACTCAGTATTATGGAGTCTAAGTCCGTCCAGGTTGCTATGAAGTTCATGATTTTGTCCTTCTTTATGGCTGCATAATATTCCATCATGTATATGTACCACATTTTTTTTTATCCAGTCCCTTTTTGATGGGCAGTGTGGTTGGTACCATGTTCTTGCTATTGTGAACAACGCTGTGATAAACATACACGTGCAGGCATCTTTCACAGAGATTTTTCTTTTTGAGTTTGTGTGGTATAAGGAAGAACACTTTGAAATTTGAAACTATAAAAATGAGGAACATATTGTAAAATATAAAAATTAGGGGTAAAAGAAAAACAGGTTAAGGATTTGCATTCCAAAATGCAAATGGGAGAGTCTAACAAATGAGAGGATCAAGGTGGAGAAAGGTTGTGTGTACTGTCAATTTTAAACATTGAACTTTATTTATAATATTAAACTATGAGCTATTAAAAAGAATTTTAGTGATTAAGGCATTTATTTCATCATACTTATATTAGTCTGCTGGGGCTACCATAACAAAATGACACAGACTGCGTATCCTAAGCAATGGAGATTTGTTTTCTCACAGTTCTGGAGGCTGGTAGTCTAAGATCAAGGTATTGGCAGGGTTAGTTTTATCTGTGGTCTCTCCCCTTGGCTTGCAGGTGATCACTTTTTGCTATGTCCTCACATGGTCTTTCATCTGTATTTACATGCCCCTTTTGTCTCGCTGTGTGTTCAAATTTCATCTTCATATAGGAACACCAGCTTAATTTGATTTGGCACTACTCTAGTGACCTTATTTTATGTTATTCTCCCTTTAAAAGACCCTAATTCCAAATACAGTCGCGTTCTGAGGCACGGGGATTTACAGTTTCAACATATGAGCTTTGTAGCGTGACATGATTCAAACAGTACAATACCGTATGTTTTGTATTAGAAACAATATTACATAATTGGATTATCTTTTGCAAAAGATTTTGTATGGCTATATTTACAATAATTGTTTCTTGTCATTTGTGTCTATTATAGACTGAATTGTATCACATCTCAAATTCTTTTTTTTTCCTTTTTTAAAATTATAAAGATGTGGGGTACAATTCAGGGTTAGGTATACAAACATTGATTATGCAGGTACCCTTGTTAATGAGGTATGCCCCTCCCTCCCCTAGCAGTTTCCCTCAACTGCCAATCCCACTCCCCCATCTCAAATTCATATGCTGAAGTCCTAACTTGTCATTTATGTCTGTTATGAACTGAATTGTTCCCCATCTCAAGTTTATATGTTGAAGTCCTAACTCCCAATATGACTGTTATTTGGATATAAAGCCTTTAAGGAGGTTATTAAAGTTAAATGAGGTAGTAAAGATGGGGCCCTAATCCAATGGAACTGATGTCTTTATAAGAAGAGGAGACACCAGACCTTTTGCCCTCTTTCTCTCTTGCTCTTTCTGAGCACAGAGAAGATGTTATGTGAGAATGTAGTAAGCAGGTGGCCAGCTACAACCCAGGAAGAGATGCCTCCCCTGAAACCAAATTTTTGGCACCTTGACCTTAGACTTTCAGCCTCCATAACTCTGAGAGAATAAATGTCTGTTGTTTAAGCTAATTAACCTGTGGTATTTTGTTATGGCAGCCTGAACTCATCATTACATTGCCTAATTTTATCTGATACAATTTCATTTGGTTACAATCAATAAACATTTATGATGTGATTTTCATTGAAAAAAATAAACTTTTTCTGATTTATAACTTTCATAGTATAAAACTAAAACAGAAGCAGAATATAAACATCTTGTGCTCTACATTATAACTATAAATATCATAGGAATATAAACTTCTATAGCTATTTTTTAAAAATTCCATTGAATTTTTAAATAAACAACTATTCACCAAAGTAAATATGAGGTGAGACCCCCAAAATGGAATTTATTTACAAGAATTGGGTATTTATTCTTACATGTTTAACTTCAGTTACCTTTGAAGTACTCTCCATGTGATGCAACAAACCTATTGAAACACTTTTTCCACTGTTCAAAATAGTTTTTGAACTCATCAATTTTAATGCCTTTTGGTGCTTCTGCTGTTTTTTGTTTCACCTCTTCCATGTGGGCAAAACGTTTCCCTTTGAGGACTTTTATTCATCCGGGGAAGCAAATTTAAAAAAAATACAGTTACTTTGGTGAATAAGGAAAGTGGAGCATAGGGGTCATGTCATTTTTGGTTAAAAACTGCTGAAAACTCAGCGTGGTGTGGGCAGATTCACTCATAAATCAGCCATCACGAAATTGGCAAACGCATTGAAAAAATCTCCAAAGCAAATTCACTGGAACTGAACGCAGCCTCACAACAACACTAGGTGCTACACTGATGCCGATGGATTCCTAGAACACTTACCTAGCAGTTATACTACAATGTTATATTATACTACAGGGAACCTGCCCTCCAAAAAATAATTCCGGGTTTTGGGGTCCTCCTCATACTTCAAAAAGCAATTCACATCTCCTTATAGGTAAATTGAATTCCACTTTTGATTTTCATATATTTTGTCTTTAAGAATTTTATGTCCTTCTTACTTACACATGACAGTTATTATATCTTATTTAGTGGAGTTACACCTAAAAATGAAAATACTTCAAAGAAACATTCTAAAAAGTGATCCTGAAAGAGTACACTGAACTGGGGTTAAAGCAAATTCAGGCTTATATTCCAGCTCTTCTGTACACCTGTGACCTTGCACAAATTATATCACTTATCTTAGCTCTAAGTTCAATATTTGCCAAATTTAGGATGATCATTCCCATACTTACTTGATTGCTAAAAGAATTAG